GGGGGGGGGGGGGGGGGGGGGGGGGGGGGGGGGGGGGGGGGAGAAGGGGAGTTGGGGCTCAGCCGACCTTATGCTCACCCCGCACGATGTGCGAGGAGAACTCGTACCGGTCCTGGCTGTGATGGCCGCAGATGTTGCACTCGAAAGGGTCTCTGAAGCCGTGGCAGCCCATGTGGATGGTGAACATGACGTGGTCCAGGAAGAGGATGCGGCAGTGCTCGCAGCGGAAGGCTCGCACCGGCTCCCCGTCCTCGGTCACCACGCGCAGCGCATCCCGCCCGCCGCTCGCCGTGGAACGCGCCGCTCCCTCCGCCGCCTTCGGGTCCTCTTTGGCGTACGCCGGGCTCTGGCGGCTGCCGGGGCCGTTTCCCGGCGGAGGCTGAGCCGTCCGCTCCTCGTGGATGCTCTCCGTGTCCGTGGAGTCGTGGCAGCCGTTGGTGGGCGACGCGCCCGCCTCCCGCCCGCGGTACAGCGCCTGCGCCCCGTCCGCCGTGTCCTCGTGGCCCTCGGCGGCGTCGCGGCCCCCCGGCAGCTCCAGGCGGCCCGGCAGAGGCTGCAGTTGGGTGTAGACGGAGCTGATGACGGGGGTCACCTCCGAGATGCAGTTTGTGGGGGGCAGGCGGAGCGGGCGAAGGTGTTCGCCCCCCATCAGCGCCAGGGAGCTGCCGTAGGAGGGGTCCAGGGGGTGGTGGGCCGACACCATCTCCACGTCCTTCTCGAAGCCGGCGTTCACCTCAAAGGGGAGGTCGGAGAGCGCGAACCGCATCTGCTTCTCGCCTGTGGGCAGGAGATAAGATGGTGTCAGAGCGGGCACAAGGGCACTGGGACCTCCATCCCATCCCGTCCCGTCCCACACACAGCCCCACTGCTGTCCCTTCCCATCCCATCTCACAAAGCCCCACTGTTATCCCATTCCATCCTGCCCCATGTGCAGCCCCACTGCTGTCCCATCCCATCCCATCCATCCCACCCCACACACAGCCCTGCTGCTCTTCCATCCCATCCCACCTCACCCCACCCCACACACAGCCCCACTGCTGTCCCATCCCATTCCATTCCATCTCATCCCACCCCATCCTGTCTCATCCCATATCCTATCCTATCCCATCTCATCTCATCTCATCTCATCCCACCCCACCCTATCCCATCTCACTCCACCCCATTCCATCCTGTCTCATCCCATCCCCCCCCATCCCGCAGGGTGGAAGGTACAACGTGAGCACCCACAGCACCCAACTGCAGAGCGTGAGCCATCAGTGCCTCAGCCCCCCCAACCCCTCTCCCATCTGCCCAGGTTGGGGAGGGAGCAGCCCCTTACCCACGAATTTCTGAGGTGTGGAGCGCTTCCTCTTGGTGAGGCTGTTGGCCAGGCGGTCGATGAACGTCGGCCGGTCGGCAGAGGGGTGCAGCAGGGAGTCCGGCACGATCTCCAGGTCCCTCATCTCATCACCTGGCAGGGCAGTGGAACCACTCAGACAGAGGGTGGCACGGAGCAGCGGGAGGGACGTGGTGAGGCAGCACCCGCCGTGCCAGCCTTGGTAGCGCCTTCTACCCCACGGCCACTGGGCACGGGCAGCAGCAGGGCTCCGGCTGGGACCCCCAGCAGCCCAGCCCTGCTGTCCCCCCCCCAGCACACCCCCAGCACCCACCTTGCTGGCCGGCCAGCGCCTGCGGCTCAGTGTTCAGACTCTGCAGGTAGCTGTGGCAGCGCTCCTTGTGCTCCTCCAGCGTGCTCTGCTGCTTGTAGCTGCGGCCGCAGTAGTTGCACTTGTAGGGTTTGCCAACGGTGGGAGAAGAGACTGCAAAATACACAGATGAAAATCAGATCGTGAGGACACGCAGGTGGCCGCCGAGCCACTGACACTGAGCTCCAGGCTGGCTCTGCTCTGGCACCTCCATACAGGCAGCTGGGTCAGTGCTGAGCAGCTGCTGTGTGCTCAAGGTGATGCTTCACAGCGCTGGGACCCACAGCCCTCAGATCCCCACCCCACAGCGCCCGGATCCCCATCACCATGGCCAAGGCAGCGGGCACAAAGCTGCCTCCCCGCTGCTCCCAGCCAGAGGGCAGCAGAAGGGCCACTGCGTGTTTCCCTGTGGGAGCTCAGGCTCAGACAGCAGAAGCCAATGCTGAGCGAATCCCTCTCACTCCTCACCCACAGGAGGGTTTGTCACAGTCCAAAGTTGGGGGGGGGGGGGTGAGGAGGGGATGCCACCAGGCCATGGACACCAACACAGAAAGGCACACCAGGATTGGTTCCTCCATGTAGAGCCTCAACTGCAAATTCCATCGCATCTCATCGACCTCCATCCCTTCCTCAGCTCTCAGTTCCCTACACGGCTCTGTGTTCTCACTCCTGAACAAAACATCCTGAATGTCCCCTCCCCAGCAGTGGGGTCTCCTCAGGACCCCGAGGTGCAGACACGCACCACACAGCACCCATAGGGCACACAAAGCCCACCCCAAAGTCTCCTCCAGCCTCGGGTCTGCGAGGCAGAGGGGTCCCCAGTGCTCAGCACAGCCACCCCAGGGGGGCACAGCCTCTGATCTCTCCAGTGCCACGCAGTGCGTTTGATCTTGATCTGAACGCCTCTTCTTTTTGGACAGCACGTCTTCTGAGATGAAAGCTGCTGCTTCCCCTCGTGGGATGGTGTGAGATCCAAATGGCTTTGTTAGGGGGTGGGAGGGGAGAACTGCACTGCTGCCGTCCGCCGGGCAGGGAGAGCGCCCGGCTCTCGCCTGTGAAATCCACATTAAACGAAGGTTTTCTCGGTAATTAGCTCCCATACAGACTGATTGCTGTTTGATATGCTGTGAGGACGTGTCCCACTTCTGCGTCTCTTGGCGAGGGCTCACAGACACCTTCATCTGCCAGCGGCGGGGGGAGGCTGGCACGGCTCCCAGTTGGGTTCTGATCCCAGGGATGGGGGGTTCTGACATCGGGAATTGGGGTTCTGACCCAGGAAAGGGGATCTGACCCCAGGGAAGGGGATCCCAGCCCTCCAGCAGGATGGGGACAGTGCTGCTCTCCACACCCGAGCACAGCAGGAGCTCACGTGTGCTCTTTGCCCTCCACAGTCAATGTCAGGAGGGATTCTGCCTCCAGCCACCGACTTCTGGCTTTTTTTTTTTATCCTCAGAGATAAGGAAAGATTCCAGGGTACGGATTTCTTTGCCTGTTCTTCCCATAACTGTCAGAGGCCATTAAGCTCACCTCCTCCCCAGGGGGATCGGGCTCTTCTGGGCACCTGAACCCAAAGTGCCCCAGCGGCACTGCCAGGCAGGGTTACCCACAGCCCCACCAGCTGAGACACAACAGAACCAGAGGCAAAACCACCTCTCAGATGTCACATTCAGCAAGGACAGCAGTCAGAACAAAGCAAACCCCCCCCCGCCGTGCTCGGTGTTTCCACTGGGGCAAGGCACACCCAAGGGTGGGACCTATCTCGACTCAATAAAACCCATTAAACATTTATGTTTACGAGAAAGAGATGCAGTGAGCCCAGAACCTGGGGGTACACTGCCTCCAACACCCCCAGCTTCACATCCAGGACACAACGACCCCCCCAGCGCCCATCCAACGTTGGTGCTGTGCCGTAGGAAACCTCAGACTGACCAGCAAGGAACCCAAGCTGCTGGGTGTGCCGGGCTCAGCTCCCACCCGTGCACCTCTCAGTTCATCCCTCCCCACCTCCCTGCCCCCCACCCTGGCCAGGCACCCACCAGAGTGCGTCCTCAGGTGTCCAGTGAGGGCATCCCTCCTACGGCAGGCGTAATTGCAGAAGGGACACTTGAAGGGTTTCTCTCCAGAGTGCAGCTTGATGTGACGAAGGAGGTTTCCCTTCTGGGTGAAGGAAGCCCCACACTGGTTGCAGTGGAACGGCCTTTCTCCTGTGAAGCAGAGCAGAGCATGAAACACCCAGAGGAAAACAGAGCTCGGCTCCATCCCTCCCCCCCGGCCCCACTCACCCGTGTGGCTGCGCTTGTGCACCATCAGCACGTTGGGGCCGATGCACACCATGCCACACACATCACACTTCAGTTTGCCATTAGGCAACCGGATGCCACCGGGGGAATGTGGCTCCTGGCCTGGCCCATCGCAGTAACCCAGTGGCTCTGAGAGGGAATCCTCCACGATGACGCTGTCGTCCTTCTCCAGCATGCGGTCCTCCTGTGCCAGCAGCCGGCTGCCTTCCTCATCGCTGTACATCTCCACCTTGATGGAGCTGGCTGCAGGAGGGCAGAGAGGACACGGCTCAGGCAGGGTTTGCTCCCAAAGGAGCAGCACTGACGTGCCCTTTGCTTTGATTGTGACAACGTGCTGCTGGGTACATTGGAACAGACACCCGGCGCTGGATCCCGTCTGCATGTCCCACAGACCATTGCTTTGGTGCTCTGGTGACCGACTGTGAGTAAAAAACATTTCACCCCCCGCATCCAAAGGTGGAGGGAGAAAGAAAAGCCACTTAAAGCACTTGGGAAGAGCAGAAAACACCAAATTTTGACCATGAATCAGTAAAGGCTCCACATGTTCTGGCACACAGAATGCCCAGTGTGAGTCCCTCGGTCAGCAAACCCCAGCCTGCAGCAGAAAAGCACTCTGCTGCACTCATCCTTGCTGGAAAACCTGGGATCCAACTATGGGAACAGGGAACAGAGAACCTGAGCAGGACAGCAGCGCAGGGAGCAAACACTGCAGTGGCACAGAGCCACGAGAGCCTGGGTGACAACACAGCAACCCACGTGGCTGCTGGTGAAAGGTCCCACATGCTGGAGACCCCCCCAGGGCGCTGCCCACTCTGTGAGAGGCAAAGGGCAGCCCAGGAGAGCCCTGCAGACCTACAGGCACTGCAGACCGGAGCCGGAGGACATGGAGCTGGGGGCCACACTGCCACAGACCCCCCCCTCCCCACCTCTCCTTCCTCCTGCAGCACCAGGAGCGGGGCGGCTGCGCTGGCAGCGACCTACATTCCTGGCTGCTCCAGTGAGCTGTGGAATGCCACAAATCAGACGGGCTCCAGAGGATGGCAATGGGACAGCGAGGGCTGCACTGGCACAGATGGGGAGAGGAGCCTTCCTCCTCACCTCCTCTACCTCCACAGAGCTGCTCCTTCGCTCAGCCGCACCTCCAGACCCTTTCTGGAAGCAGAGCAGTGCCATGCAGAGCAAGTCCTCAGCTGACTGCGTTGGGAAGCATCCTCCCACTGAGCAGAATGGGAGGGAATCCCTCGGGATGTGCCAAGGACAGCAGGAATACCTGCTCTGCTGCCCTGTGCTGCTCTGAAACCTCGCCCGGGTCACCCATATGGCAGCACACAGAGCCCACAGCCTCAGAGAAAACATTTACAGGATCTCCTGAAATATCAGACTCTGATTTCTTCTGCTTAAAGCAGGAGGATCTTTCCAAGCCCTTCAGGGAGCTGCTGGGGCTGAACTTTATATACACATTCTTGCTGCTGGCGGGGATGATTCCAGCATCCAAGCTCCCTGGTGGAGGCAGGCATGGGATCACAGCCCTGCAGGAATCCCAGAAGCTTCCAGACCCGATGCTGATGTGCTCTCCAGGGCTCGTTTGGGTCTTTGTGGCGGGCAGAGGGCTCTCAGCTGTGGGTCCAGGCACAAAGCTGAGTGAGGAGCCCAGGAATCCCAGCTCTCACTGCCTCACTTCCCCTCCTGTCCCGCAGACAATGCTGCCTTCCCAGAGAGGCTCTCAGCAGCTACGCATCCAGCCCAGCTCTGGCAACCACAGGCACTTTCAGGCCATCTGCTGAGCCATTGGCCAAAGGCACCGCAGGCTGCAGCCCGGGGGGGGCTCAGCAGCCACAGCACTCCTGGCAGATCAGAACCTTCCTTCCACGCTGCCCAGTGCCACTGGGAGCACCTGGGGGACCCCACGGGAGCACAGACACAAAGCAAAACACTCCAGTCTTGATGGCAGGAGCTGCCTGGATGCACTGACGTTCGCTGCACTTTGATTTTCTTCCTTCCTCCACCCCCCCCCCATAGTTCCCCTGAGGACTTGTTTTTTTTCCTGGGCGCAGGAGGAAGGCCAACTATTGTTCTGTAATTCTCCTTTCAGAACCAACACAGAGTCCGGCCGCGCTGAGAGAGCCGTCTCCTCCGGCAGAACAGGTTATATAATATTCTTGCTCCTCTGGGGCACGATGCTTGCTGGATGAACCAGCTGTGAAGTCAAGTCGGATCAGAGCAATGCCATCACCGGCGTCCCGCTGCTCACGGGGAAGGGCTCCTTGCTGCCCTTTCAGCTGGTCCACGTGCTCAGCTCCTTTTGCTTCCAACAGAACCGCTCTCCACTTAAGGCTTCATTTCTTCACAGAGCTTCTCAGCGTTTTTAGAGGGCAAATAGATAACAAATAGCTAAAAAAATCCCCCCAAAATGGAGGTAACTCATGACATTACCCCTTCTGAAAATGAAATTCATTTTAACTTCTTCACCCCGGCTCAGAAAGGCTGCTTTGAAAGGACTGAAGCAGAGGTGCCCCCATCGCTCCATGCGGGTCAATCACAGGGGAGTTCCTCTGCTATGGAGAAGTGAAGCACAACTCCGTGCTCCATCAGGGAGAGAGGGAACACTGCAGCTGTGCTGCTCCACATCCCTCAGTGGAGCCCATCTGATAGAGCACAACCACAGCACTGACACCCACCTGCTGCCCCGAGTGGTGCTCAGCCACTGTAAGCCCCACAGAGCTCAGCCCACGCTGCGCCCCGCTGGGATGGCAGCAGTAGGACACCCAATGGAACGGGTGCTGCCTGAGGCTCTCGTGTCACCTGAAAAGTGGTTCCACAAAGACCTGGAGGGGCTGGGGGGCAGCGTGGGGCTGTACTCACCACTGAGGGAGCGGCTCGGGGAGGAGTGCTGGCTGTTGGGTGTGCTCACCGCAGCTCCCACGATGGCCGAGCTGAACTCCTTCTCCAGAGAGGAATCCCCGCTGCCTTTGGGAACACAGAAAGGGAAGAGGGATGTGAGTGAGCCCTGAAGCTGCCAGCGAGCCCTGCAGACCCCTTTGTGCAGCAGTGCCGCGTGGGGCACACAGCAGCGACCCCCAGCAGGTATCTGCCCCCCAGCAGCAGCCCCGTGTCCATTCCCACAGGTGGGACCTGGCAGCACCACACAGCAGAGCCCTGCCCACAGCCCCCAGACCGCAGTGGGGAGGGCGAAGTGCTTTGGGATGGGAAGCACGGCAGCTCTGTGCTCAGCCCCCCCTGGGACAGACAGGACCCGCCGCGCCGTGCCCCCCGGCCTCCCCATCGTGTCCCTCACCGACAGCTCGTCATGCTGCAGGAAATACTGGGTCACATTTCCTTTGCTCTAAAAACAAATGGAGGTGCCCACAGTGCTGGCAGACGGCGTGGTTCCCCTGGGAGCTCCTGGCTGCAGGCAGTGCCAGCACTGCTGCTGGGTGGGCTCAGCCTGGCAGCTTCCCCATCCCTGCTGCCCTGGGAGGGACACAGCTGTGCCCCAATGGCCTTTTCCTCCAGCCAGGCTCCAGGCTGAAGGAGAAGCGGAGCAGAGCAGCAGCCCAACTTCAGGGTAGCTCAGCTCCATGCACCCAAAGCCCACAGCCGGCAGCCGGCAGCGCTGTGCAGGGTCAGCACAGCACCCTGAGGCAGTGACCCCCCCCACAGCACTGCAGCCCTGGGCTGCGTTCTGACCCTTCCACCCCTCCAACAGCCCCGAGCACTCAAACTTCAGCCCAAACTTCCAGGGCTTGGCTCGGCACAGCTCATTAATTAGCTGTTTGTCACGCCTGCAGCGTTAATGCTCCCCAGCTCCTTAATGAACACAGCTGGATGCTGAAGTTTGGTGAGCACCTTACAATGCCAGCAACCCACAACAGCAGGTGGCAACGGAGATGGGACGTACCAGATATGTAGGATCGTCCATTACAGTCTTCTATATCCATCCTTAAGGTGCGTTGCTGAAAGAGAGAGCAGAGCAGAGTCAGAGTTTGCCTGCAGGAGCTGCTCAGCCACCTCCCCAACCCCCCCCAAATAAAACACGTCTGGGGCAGAGCTCTGTGAGCTCCCACAGCGCAGCCCCACATCACCATCAGCCCCAGAGGAACACAAACCCGGCCCTGGGGGGGCAGAGAGCCATCACCCATCCCAGGGACAGCCGGACACCGAGCACTGGAAGCATGGAGCAGGGACATCTGGTGTCATTCTGCTGATGGGAAGAGCTGGGTTTGGGGCAATGGGACCGAATGGCAACGCAGCACTGTGCCCAACGGTCTGCAGACACCGTGCCAAAATGAGAGGGAAACCCACCCAGCTGGGGTAACAAACACGCTGTATATGAGGTGGCTCTTATTGGCCCACTCCCATGGCTTTGCTGTGCTACACACACACTCAGAAATCGCCCGAGTACCAGCTGTGCAGGGAAAGTCCTCTCTCTGGAGCACAGCCCAGCCTGGCAGCGGTGGGCACGCAGCCCTGAGCTCCTCTGAGCTGCGGGCAATGGGGCCGAGACCCCCTCCCCCAATTTGCAGCCCTCTGTGAGCCCCCTCCACGCACGCAGCGCTTCGTGCCACCACGCAGAGACCTCGGCGACGCTGCGCTGAAACTGGAGCAGCACTCAGCACTGAAAGAAGGGCTGCCCCCCCCAGGGGCTGCACTCAGGGAAACAAAGCCCCCCCCAGCAGCCCAGTTTAACCAAACCCCGGGGCTGAGCACGGAGCCATCCAGACGTCCTCTGTGCTGAGCACACGGGGGCTCCTGAGGACAGCAGGGTCAGCGCGTGCCCCCCATCCCAGCCCTATGCTGCCACCCCTGCAGCTCGCAGCCCCCCCAGCCCCCCCCAGGACAGACCCACTGCCTTCACACGGGGTGAGGGCGGTACGAAGCACCACAGCAGTCCCTGCAGTTTCTCTTCCCAAAGCATTGTTTCCATTCGCTCTGTTTTCCAACATGAGAGCTTTTTTTCCACCTTTGCCACGAATAGGAGCGCGCGGAGCCATAAAAAAGAAGGGCTGTGATGTTGGAACGACACCAAGGTCCATCTCCACGGTCCCACAGGGCCGGGCAGCCCCGCAGCCGGGAGCAAAGCACTGCGTTGTGTTTTATCCATCACCAAACAGCTCTCGGTTCCCTATTTTGATCCATGCGTTCCGTCGGACGAAGCGCCGCTGCTGCAGAAACGGAGCGGCTGACGGAGCTCCGCGGGATGGAGAGAGGAAAACTCCACGGGATGAGAACCCAACGCTGGAGGGGTGGCGGGCAGCAGCTCAGGACCCCACGCCATGGCCCAACACACAGGAGCAGCCCCTTATCCTGATACATCCATTGGCACAACTTCACCCGCAGGGCCACAGATGGAGGAGACGCAGCACCGCTCCTGAGGTCCAGCGATGAAGTTGGAGCTCGAAGCAGTGAAGGCCGTCCCTGGGGGCTTCTTTGTGCAGCATCAAAACCCGCGCCGTCACCACCAACAGCAAAGCTGACAGGTATGGGACGGAAGGGCAGCGCTTCCCCACAAGCCCTGCAGTCGGCGGGGGGAGGTCCTTCTGGGGCTGCCTGCGCTCCTGGGGGGCAGAAGATGATGCACTCGTGGGGGTGGAGGGCAGATGCAGAGCAGCACTTCTGACAGCTGCGGTCCCACAGCGCCGATGGAAGCGTCCTCGAGGATTTGGGGTTTGCGTCCCTCCGTGGTGCATCCCGTCCTGCGCTGCTGCGAAACGCTGCCCCCCATCCCCACCCCCTGGGGGCTGCGAGCTCCGTGCTACGGCTGAACCCCCCCCGCCCCCCCAGCACAGATGTCAGCAGCCCCAACGTCCCCCAGACCCCACGCTCCTCAGCCACACAGAGCACAGAAACCCCCCGATCCCACCCCACAAAGCGCTTCCACCCCATCACCCACATGGGTGTCCCCCCCTTTCCAGGATCCCCCCAGCCAGCAGCACAGCGGGCAGAGCAGCAGACAGACGCAGCCCGGCTGGCTGAGAGCAGGAGGAGAGGGGAGCTGATGGGGGGCAACGAGCGAAAATGAAGCTGGGGGGCACCGGGGGGGGGGGGAACCACCGGTAGGGACGGAGGAACACCGGGAGACCCGGACCGGGGGGCTGGGGGGGGTAACAGCCGCAGACGGAGCGCCGCCCCCCCCGGTGCTGAGGCGGCCCCGAGCCCGGAGCCCCCCGTGCCCCCCCCGGGCAGAGCTCCGCTGTCACCGCGGCTGCCATTGTTCGCGGAGCTGTCACCGGGAGCCGCCCCCGTTACCGACCCCAGCCCCCCCCCCCGTAATTCCGGCGGAACCCGCCCGACCCGGGAGGCGTCGCGGTGCGGGGGGGTCCGCCGGGGGTCGCCCCGCAACGCCGAGCCCCGAGCAGCGCTTTTCCCCCCCCCAACCCAACCCAACCCAACCCAACCCAGCGCGTCTCACCGTCGCGGCGCGGTGCGGCCCCCCCGGCCCGGCCCGGGCGCGGGGAGCGGCGGGGGGGGCTCAGCGGCCCGGCGGCGGCTCCGGTTCCATCGGCGGCGGCTTCACCTGAGGAGGGCCCGGCCCGGCCCCCCCCCCCCGCCCGCCCCGAGC